TCTCTCCGTGTTGCCACGGAAGATTCAGTGTCGTTTTACTTGTCACGAACGGGCACCTAAGAAAAGAGAGAGAGAGAGAGAGAGAGAGAGAGAGAGAGAGAGAGAGAGAGAGAGGATTTCTGCTCTCTCTGTGTCCCCCTCCGTCCGCTGCCGGAGCGTTCTCTCCGTGCAAAAGGAATGAATGTTCCCGTGAACGCCAGTAGTGGCAGTAGATTCGCACAGAAAGAAACGTGGCCAGAAGGGGGGGGAGAGAGATAGAATCCAGCCGCGGCCTAACTCAGTTGGTAAGGCTCGCAAGTGGCATTCAGGAGGTCGTGGGTTCAATCCCCATTAGCCTCATGTACCTTCCTTCCTGGGCATGCGTGGGGGCTGCCACCTAGAGGCTAGAGCTAGACCACTGGATCCGATGCCAGATCGGAATTGAGCAGAGTCCGCTGATGTTCATAGGGGAGCCGGGGGAGGGGACGACCACCTGAGGGGAGGCACAGGGATTGGTCCTATTGGGATGGTCCCTCATGCTATCCCTAGCCGGTATCGCCACTGGAAGGTCGGGAGCAGCCCCTGCACATTCTCTCGTCAGGTATCACCTGCCTGCAGGTCAGGAGCAGCCCACCTGCAGGTCGGGAGCAGACCCCACACGTTCTCTGGTCCGGTATCTCCCACCTGCAGGCTGCAGGTCAGGAGCAGCTCCCGGCCTCCCGCACGTTGTCTCCTGAACACGGTTCTGGCTGCTACGGCGTTCCCAGTATGCCGACAATTAGGAGCACTAGTGGTAGGTAGGTAGTGTGAGGTGAAATTGAGAGAAGAATATAGCTTAAAAGAGAGAGAGAGAGAGAGAGAGAGAGAGAGTCGAAACTCTCTCTCTCTCTCTCTCTCTCTCTCTCTCTCTCTCTCTCTCTCTCTCTCTCTCTCCTCTGAGTCTCCTGGCTTGTATATATAAACAAGACATGGTCTGGAAAAAAAAAAAAAACACTTGTCCCCACCACGGGGACTTTCGGGACAGGCCTCCGTGGATAAATTTCATCAATGGCCTTGGTTGCGTTTCCGGCATGGTGTGAGGCCTGGGAGAGCTCCACAGGGAATAAGACGGTGTTGGACAGTTTTAGAGAGTTTTGTTTGGGAGTCTAGGGGCTCTGAGCATTCGAAAAGAGGTGAGTAGTCATTCATAGTTTTTTAACCTCTCCTTTAATTCTCTTGAATTTCTTCAATCGTTCTCAGATTGATTCTCGGCCGAAGCCCGGTAATGGCCCCGGCATCTCAAATGACTTGTGCAACTCTATATGGGACGCTGGGCCCGGTTCCCAGCACATGCTGCTCCCCACGAATAGACTGGAGCATTTGTCCCAAAAAAAAAAAAAAAAAAAAAAAAACTGTATCGGGCATCCATAAAGTCACAAGAAGCATCTGAGTCTGGCTTGGAGGGTCTCTGTTTCGGCCTTTGGTCATGTGTAGTTTTGCGCATAAATGTCCATTGTCGCATTCATTAACGGCGTAGTTCTGTTGTGGTCACCTGTCCAGAAGACGCAAAACCACACCTGACCACGGAATCAGGGGCCTCGCCACACCACTCTTGAGAAAGAGTTTTCAAGAGTTGCGGTGCCGCCACAACGCCTCTTGAGAGTTTGGATCGGATCATCGGAAAAAAACTTCAAGCGCTGTCAGAACGCGGGTTCAAGAGTCGCGTTTGAGGAACCCGAAATCCCCGCCTGCAACACTCGATATGTCAAGGGTCCTCGGCCCGGTGGTGAACGGACGCTTGATTCTCAAGAGCTGTCAGGTCTTCAATTCTGACAGCGGTCAGTGATTTCGGCCCCCGCTTTCAAGAAGTCTACCTCTTGTGATTTCGGCCACCGGGTCCGTCCCAGGCCGCCGGTTAGCAATTCTCAAGAGTAGGCCTCCTCGCCACACACAACTCTTGAAAGTCCTCCAGCGGTCCGAGCCTTTTCTCAAGAGTCCGTTTGTCAAGAGGTCTGTGTGGCGAAGAGCCCGAAACTCTTGAAACACGGACTCTTGAGAAAATCTGACAACTCTTGAGACATTTCGTGTTTTCAAGAGTCACTGGTGTGGCGAGGCCCTCAGACTGCAAACCCAACCCTCTTTTTTTAATCCACTCGTGGGGAGCAGCACGTGCTGGGAACCGGGCCCATTGTCCCATCAGAAAACATACTAGGAAACGTATGTGAGGCAATTGAGATACCAGGGGTCAAGTCCCACTAGTAGCGTTGAGCTACCTCAATGCCTGAATCTGGATGTGTTTGTGGAGAGGTGCAGTTCAGGAAACTCAACCCAATTTCTGCACATCTCCGCAAAAGCATCCAGATTCAGGCGTTGAGCTGCTAGTGGGACTTGGTCCCGGGACCATGGACCCTATTTCCTGCAGGTGCTCCCACATGAGGACGATATCACAGGGGACTGCTTCTACCAGGCCCTGCGATATGGCCCGAGTGTTTTGTTGTTCTTCTTTTTTTTTAAGAGCTCATGTACTATGCTACTAGGAAAATCTAAGAAATTCAATCCTGAAGAAAACGCCCAAGCCGAAGATCTCCACTACCACCATCAATTGTAACCTGTCTGGGACATAGGGCCTCGCCACACCACTCCCGAAATTTGAAAAAGACAAAAATGTGGCGGGTGCATCTGGCCATCTTCTAGCCGGAAGTTCATTCTCATTTTGCACATTTCGAGAGTGGTGTGGCGATGCCCATAATGCCCAGTGCTGATGAAAACATCACACACTGTCAGGCCTCAGTGCTATTACAAGCTCATAATATGAAGGCCTGTGGCCTCTCTTTTTTTTGGGGAAAAAAAAAAAAAAAAAAAAAAGCATCACACAGCAGATCTCAGACAGGTTGTGTCCATGTGTTTTTTGTTGCCCTCTATTGACAGTCTGCTCCGTATTTCTAATCTGTGGAGCATAAAAAAAAATAAAAAATCTGTGGAGCATCAGTCCGGTCCCACATCAAAAAGAAAACTCGGTAATCTTTGGACCATCAGTTGGGTCCCACATTAAAAAAAAAAAAACGGGGGTAAGTACATTCATGTCACCTGTGAGTATGGAATGGCCAAAAAACGTGCGTCGGCAATGAAACTCGCACCGAGTTAAAAAAGGCCACAGAAGTACCATCTGCCGTGGCGTCAGACTGGGTGTCATATTTATTTACAGGGGCCGGCCGTGGTGAAAAAAAAAAAGGATACAACAACAAAAAAAAAAAAAAGGGGAAAAAAAAAAAAAAAAAAAAAAAAAAAAGGGGAAAACAACAACAAAAAAAAAAAAAAAAGGGGAAATGCCCAAAGGATACCTTTGGACTTAAATCTCTCATTTCGAGTTGGCGCGCGTGGTTTCTCTGCCGGCGCAAGTTTTTTTTGCCTTTAGGATGCGGCGTCGGCCTTTATTTCCAAAAAAAAGAGCAGAAACAAGGTCCAGTCCCACATCACAAGTGAAGAAAGAAATACCACAAGCGCTGAGGTCCCACTAGCAAAGAGGATAGGATAGAGCTCCTGAATCTGGATGTGTTTTATGCAGAGATGAAGAAAAGAGGTTCAATCTCGATTTCCTGCACATCTCCATAAACTCGTCCAGATTCAGGCAATCGATCCGGTCCCCTTGGCACACTTACTCTACATTGTACAATTTGTAGAGTTGGGTCATTGTTGTACTAACTGTCCTTTTCTACTTGAGAAACTACTTTTTTTTTTTCTTTTTTTTTTTCTTTTTTTTGAAAAGAAAACCCCTTTCTAAACCCTCTGAGGCTCGCCACACAGGCTGTCGAATGTCCAAAATTTTTGACAGGTGTCAGAAAAAAAAAAAATTGACAGCCCGGCGGTAGACAATTTCGCCCCCCTTCGCCACATACCGCGTCGAGGGGCGCGGTTGTCGAAAGTTGCCAAGTAGACCACAGGTGCTGTGTGGCGAAGGCGGTCCCCTGTGGGGAGTTGTTACATGGACGAATTTGTGCACGCAAGCAGACCAGATGCAGACGCCGTTTTCTACAGCCACTATTGACTACATACTGACAAACAGGCCATGGCTGTCAGGGAGCAGTAGCTGACAATGGAAAATAGGAGCCTTTTTTCGAAAGGTGGGCGAGCCACTGTCGAATTTTCGTCACCTGCAGGCTGGAGGGAGGCTGTCAAAAGTGCCATCCTGACACCTGTCGAAAGTTTTTTGAGCCGCAATTCTTTCGAAAGTCTGCGTGGCGATGCAAAATTGTCGAAAACCAGGTTTTCGACAGCCTGTGTGGCGAGGCTCTCTATGAGCGTCGTTCGACACTCCTCGGGGCATCCTCGGGCTCCGAGGATGAATCCTCGGAAAAGTTTAGGGTTTTTTTCGTCTTCATTCCACTCATCCTCGGAGCATCGGTTTTAGGACTCGTCCTCGGAGCAGTGTCAGAAAAATAAAAGGAAAAAAAAAAGAAAAAAAGTTGTGCTTCAGGCTTTCAGCCAATAGGGTGCCGCCACGATCAGAATTCTCGGTTGTAACGTCTCTCTACGTGCATGCCCTCTCCTCTCCGTGAAACGCGGATCCTCGGGCTCCACAGGACATCACGAGGTCCCTTGGAGCCGAGGACAATTTGGCTGGGAAATCCTCGGAGTCCAAGGATTTGTCCTCGGAGTGTTTTCACATTTCTGTTCTGAAAATCGGCTCCGAGGGCAGGTGGAACGACGAGGATTGGAATCCTCGGAATCACGTCCCCGAGGAGTGTAGAACGACGCCCTATCTCTGCGGTGGTGAGAGAACGCCAAGATTGAGGGTTTATCTGACGGCCTGCTCCATCTATTGGGCCGTCAGAAAACACGAATGACAAGGACTCTACATGGTTGCACAGTCACCCCAGTCTGCAACCACAGTTCCTTGTAGAGTATGGGCGCCCAAGTTTGGAGAGTGGACCTGGATCCTGGCAGGACAAACACTGTCAGGACTTTCAACTGTCTTTTGTACAGTAAGTGGAGCCATGGAGCAGTTTTTTTCGTTTTGTTTTGTTCTGTTTTACATGGCGCAGTTTTCTTCTGGTTCTATGGTCTGACATGTATACGAAAATTTGTACAGTACAGAGGGCCTCGCTACACCACTGTCGAAACGAAAAACGAAAGAATGCATCTACCCCAGAACGTGGTAAGATCCATCCGTTGCTATTCATATTAACCGATGCATCTTGCCACGCTCTGCATGAAGATGCACTCGAACTTTTTCCATTTCGACAGTGGTGAGGCGAGCCCCATACATCATGATCGCTGATCCAAGCAAAGAACAGAATGCAACAACATACACATCAGTTCTTTTTTGTTGGCTTTGTTTCGGTTTCTTTGAAGAAACATCTGCCACGGGCGGGCTGCTGGGGGTGATACAAGCGGCCTCCGTAGAGGGCACCTCTTATTGATGGCTCCTATCAATTGCCGGGGAGCATTTCCCTCCCCCCCTCCCCCCCCTGATAACATGACTGTTACATTTGTGTTCATCCATCCTGAACGGCTGTCTGAGGACTGGAAAGCAAGTTCAATCTAGAATTGGGTCTCTGGAGGGATCCTTCCCTTTGTGAGTCTATACTCGAATGCTGCCTCCTTTCCTGGCCTTCTGCCAGGTCTTCAGGAATCAATGCCTTTCTCCACTTGTAGCACCTCGTGAATACCAGAGCGGCTGCCGTACTTGCATAGTCTCTGGTGGGATCCTTCCCTTTGTGAGTCTGTACTCAAATGCCGGCTCTTTTCATGGCCTTCTGCTAGGTCCTCAGCAATAAAATAGAATGCCTTTCAGCTGCTGTACCTGCATAGTCTCTGGTGCCACTGGGATCCTTCCCTTTGTGAGTCTATACTCAAATGCTGGCTCTTTTCCTGGCCTTCTCCTAGGTCTTCAGGAATCAATGCCTTTCTGGACTTGTAGCGCCTCCCAAGTGCCAGTCTAAGAGCGGCTGCTGTACTTGAATCCAGTGCCTGGCCAGGGCTTTCATGTGAACTGTTACAGTCACAGTGAAATCGCAGGGTGCTAGCTAAGGGGGCATCAGTCCAGGTCATTGCTGGCAGTGTGTTGGAATGTGGGGGATAAGGAAGGCAACGAGGCAGCTGTGAAAGAAGGGGGGGGAGAGGGGGTCATGAGCGTGTGGTGGGGGGGGTAAGGTAGTAAAGGGTTAGTGTGGAGTGGGGACAGGGAAGCTGGATTGTCAGAGACCTGGTGGTTCTCTGTGAGGTGTCTGGGCTGTGGGTGCTGTTTCCTTGCACATATCAACTGTTATACCGCGTTTGACGGGGGGACACAGCGATTCGGGTAGCATGCTTCACGTTGTAGACAGTACGTGGGGGATGGGCAGCCTTCTGGATGGTAGTGTCTAAAGCCAACACTCTCCCACACACCACACCCAACCCACTCACACGCGCACTCACACCCTTGTTGGCTGAAGAC